ACTGAACAGAGGATTACCTGTGATATAGTATTAAAATATTATGTGGAGTTTAACAACACAACTGCAAAATCACTGATCCAGTGTCAACCTTTTTCACAAAGCATCAGCATGCACATTATGAAAGTTTTTCATGTATAAAAATGGCAATTTATGATCTTTGTTGTTGCTAAAAATACTTTAATCCTCCCTCTGCCACTAATCCATCAATAGGCAGTCTTACAAACTGGTGTTATACATGTAAACACATGAAAAGCACATGACTGCAAAGATCAATAACAGTAAAGATGCTTTATCTGTAAAATCCCAGATAGAAAATATGACGAGTTAAAAAGTTTGTCACATGTCCAGCATGCACTACCTTATTCTCAAATACACAGCTCAGGTGGGTGATGTAGAGACGTAACCTAAATGACAACATGATTTCTGTTGAACAGTATGAGTAGATGTTTGACCTTATAGCACTAATGGAAACCGTCACTGAAACGTTTGGGGATTTTGTTTTTCTTTTTTCTATTTTCTTTTGTTTTGGGAGTTTATTTGAATGAAGTGTCATTTTGTCCTTTTTGCCTTTAATCACCAACCATCTGCTCCTCCGACCCATTGCCTTAGATTATATCAGAAAGGTTGGATTCAGACAATAATCCAAGTGGATTAGAATGAAGCATAGATTGGAGAGACAATCTCACTCAATGAAACTTCAAATCCAGAATGAGTGGACAAAGTCGGCGCTTTTTAGGTGACAAAAACTGAATAAATCCTCAGGATAAACGTACAGTACACACAGTTTGCTTTAATATAACATTAGGTCTCATTTTTAAGACGCACAAAATTGAAATTTGGTGAGTTGGTAGCTGAGACCCAACTCAACTTTCTGAATGCTAATCACAAGTTTAAGTTAACCACTATTTTTTTTATTTTTTAAAGCTCTTATTCAGCCATTTTAAGACATACAGAGTTGAAAACTGGCATAGCAGTAGCCAAGAACAAGCTTTGACGAAATCTGAATGCTAAATAAAAATTCTAAATGGCTGCCAGAGCTGATCTGAAACTCAACGCAACTTAAAACATTTTTAGCTAAAATTGGGTGTGGTGGTTGTTAATAAGGATCTCCATCATATAGTGAAGGCAAATCAAAGATCCAAGATGACAAACAAACAAAAATTCCAAGATGGCCGCCCTTGCTAAAATGCAAAATGGACCATAACTCAGTCATTTTGAGACGTGTTTGTCTCAAATTTTGGATGGTAGCATATAACAATGATCTCCAACAAACAGTAAATTCAAATCTTTATTTAAATTGAATGCACCCTCTCATTGCAGGGTTTGAACGGGTGCTTGAAATCCTTGAAAATGCTTGAATTTTAACAGAGTCTTTTCAAGGTTTGGGAAGTGCTTGATTTCTGTATAAAGTCCTTGAAAATGCTTGATATT